GTCTCTGGTGAGGGAGTGTCCTGTGCAAGGCAAATCTTATGACTACAGTGAGTTAGATTAGCCCGGGTAAATGTGACTCTACAACAATTGAATTAATTTTAATAATAGGTATTTTTAAAATTTATTATTATCCAATTTATTTTATACTTCATATCTATTGGTTATACTTATAGGTTATTTACCTACAATTTTTATTTGAACAATAAGTTAAGATTGATTAGTAAATTTAGTTCCTTTACTCCTTTTTATTATTTATTGGAATACTGAATATTTTTGTTCATATTACAGGTATTTTATTGTATTAATAAGTACATTACATTTCTGTAAACTACGTCTATTTTATTTATTATGATACAAAACGGTAAATCGTATCAATTACTTAATTGACGCTTTAATTACTTAATTAATCAGGTATTTATCGTAATCTTTCCGTTAGCCTGTGTTTCTATTTCTCTATCATCGAAATATCCTAAATAATAAAGTATTTGTTGATAAAATAGTGAATTTAACCACGCACAGCAGTTTAAATAGTCTTGTGGGAATACACGTTTGACATACCATGAGTAGACCACTGTTGTGTGTGGGCATTTTTGACTGATATACAAATGGGGAAATGTCTGATGAGACGGAGCTCAAAATCGCTGGATCTTGTTTTCGTATTTCACACTACGCTATTGTTGTTAGCTGTAAGTTGGGAACGGCATATTATGTTTCTTTGATTTTCATCTATATACTTACATAATTGCATATTATTTTCGGTTTATAAAATTGAGTTTTCTAAAGACTATGGAGATTGGTACCAAGTGTTAATAAAATCGACACTAACAAATATAAATTAATTACATCGATATTATTATATACCTATAGCATACTTGTAATACCAACTTTTAATTCGATTTTTTCATAAGCGTTTCGCTTAATAAGTACCCATACTTCGGGCACTTATTGCGCGTCTAAAAGTCTAATATTTAATGTAATATTATAGTTTATTCTTACATAGCTTTATATAATGCATAAATATTTATTTATTTTTTCGTATAGATACGGAGATAAAACCACTTTAAAAAGTAGATACACTCATTGTAGTATTATATAGTATTACTCGTTTCTAAGCCACGCGACATCCATTTCGTCGTAGTAAGCAGAATTTTTATTCGATTAGACATATTCATTTAAAAATATACGTATTTTATTTAAATTAAAAATCGGTTGAATGATGCGTACGTGTTTTACGTCCTAAGCACGTTTAAATTCGTATTATTCTCGGTTATTATTATTATGAATTTATCCAGCTGATTTATACTTAAAATTTATTTAAATAACTTTTAAACATTATTTAACGTATATTTTTTGCGCATAAATAATTATATTTTATTTTAGTTAATAATGATGTGAATATATAAATGTTATAAATCAATATACGATAATTATAATTGAAATCGACAATATAATACAAATGGAAATGTTCGAAATTAACGTAGGGCAAATAAATAGTTGAAAAAAAAAAAATCGATTAATGTATTTGTTTTATTTAATTAATACATCAAACATATGAATTTGATTTGAGAAATATTGTGTTCGGCAGTTAACGAAATGTTACATACGTGTCGAGTACACACATTTCATATAATATATCTAATAGTATTATTTATTTACCTCGAAAGAAAATGTCCCGGAACGTTATCTATACAATATAATATTTCATCGGTAAATTATTATTATTTCCGTTTTATGATGCCAATTTCAGTGTGGTTTTAATCGTGGCTTTATTACGCCGTGCATTTATATATAATATACACTATATTATACCCGAGTAGTGAGTACTGTGCGTATCGTATAATACTCGTATATATTTACGGACAATCCAGAAATAATAGTATCTTTAAATGAGATCGGACCGGTCGAAAAGCCAAAAGACTTTTACAACTAAATGCGTTGGAAGGGGAGGACAGTTAATGATTATCTATTAATTTAATCCCGAGTGATTCGTGCACGTATAAAATTACGACAAAATTTAATATAGGAAAAAAAAAAAAAAACACGATCAGCAGAGCTCGAGTCACTAGAGTAGAATTTCCTCCCACCCGAATTGTTATTGTTGCGAAATTTCATGGCTCTGTAAGGTAAATTAAAACCTTAAAACCTTTTCCGGTGAAAACATGGACACTGAGCATAAAAATGGACGGGGAAGTGGTTGAAAGTCAAAACCGCCTAAAGGTACATCCTTGAAACGTACGCCATTCATATTATACAAAATTCTATTTCCTAAATTCATTTTGTGGGGGGATCTGTAGGGATGTAAAAAGCTAAAATATCGCCCTCTTCATATTAAAATACGACCGAAATTTGATCATTTCAATCCGTCCATAAAAAAAACTCAAATTTCCGAGTTAGCTTCTTTGGGTTCACAGTAAGCCGCTAAAACTTTACTAATGTACAGGAAAAAAGGATTTATTTATACAGAATTGCTAACATAACGTAAGACATTTATTATCTCGGAAAGTATTAACTTTTCGGAATTTTTTTTTTAATCATTTAAGAAATAATCAGTTCTAAAATGATAAATTTTAGTTTTTTTTTTAAGAGGTGAAACTACTGCCTACTTTTGGTTTCCAAATAGCTGCTTTTATTATAATTTCCATAAATAGATCGAGTATAGTTAGGATTAATAGTTTATAAACATTTCAGACTTTCATCGACCCGTTGACGAGATATTCCTCTATTAAGTTTCGGCGAGGGTAGAGTGTCAGAAAAATATTAAAACAACGTTCTCTGTGCCACTATACCAACGATGCACAATTCTCTACCGAAATATAAAAGTAGAATATCTCGTCAACGGGTTGATGTAAATTAAAACATTTTAACATAAAAATTGATATTACCTAATTAACTCCACGTATTTATGTTATTTGTATTTAGAAATCAAAAGCAGAATTCACCCCTTAAAATAAGTCTGATTAAAAAAAAAGTAATGTAACATTTTAGAGCTACTAATTTTCAAAATTGTCTATAAGACAGATTCTGATAAAAGTTAATACTTTCCGAGATAACGAGTGTCATACGTCATGTTGGTCATTCTGTATATTATATAACAGATAAAATACTATGCAATAGTCTCTCTTTTTTTCGGGAAAATTCGCCAAAAGGACTATGCCACGATAAGGCTGATGGTATAATATAACTCCCATATTGTGGTTTTCATTTCATTGGCCGGTTCGCAGTGGAAGCCGCAGGATGTATAACAGGTTATATAATATTGTTTTAAGTTTGAGATGCAATTAGTAAAAGTTGCAGACTGCCATGGAGCTTAACATATTATGTAAAAGTTTCATAAGTGATTTCGTAATAATTTTTCAGTAAATTCATGTTATAAGGTTTCAGAAGACAAAAAAAATTATGAATTGAGTTGCATTTGAAGCGAAGCTCGTTTATAATAGCTTAAAAAAAAAAAACCTTCACGAATACACGTAAACGATAATAATAATAATAATAATAAAAATAAAAATACGAAATCGTACGATATTCTAAATGCGAAATCATTGAAATTCGTTTTTATTCGACTTTGATTCGTTTTGAAAGTGAATTTCTTTTTACTATTTTTCAAATATTATAATAAATTACTAAAAATAAACGTTACGAGTTTTATAATACACTTATCTAAATTTAAAAATAAGTTTATTAATTAAGTATAAAATATTATTTAAATATCTACGAGGCGCCTGAAAACTGCATTCATTATTTTTTGAATATTTATTTTAAATTAAAAAAATAAATATGTATACTTGTATATGGAATAAATCACTTGAGAAATATAAAAAAAATCTCTGATCATCATAATTTTCGCGTTACAATACAATTTTTTCTTTTAAATTTATTTTTAACTTCTTGATGATTACATCCTATATTTTCGTTGTTATTCGATATAGTTTTCGTATTTTTCTTATAAAACTGACACAAAAAAATTATGGAATAAATATTCCTTTACAGCACAAACTGCAGTATATTGCATATTTTCTAATTGAGAAATATCCTACTATAATAATTATTGATGAAATCTTACCTAGAAAAAAAAAAAAAAAATTGTATCACAAAGACACAATCAAAAAAATGTAACATTATTGTAATATTCCAACTTTTTCCTAGTTCCTTTCACGATCCAGATTCTAAAATGAGTAACAGAATATAGAAGCAAAATTAAAAAAATAAACAAACGGGTGAAGGGTAGAATAATATGGTGTGGATGATGAGAGATGAACAGTCAAATATAATAGATACTTATTTATGCGTATATTGTGGGAAATGATATTGTTACTGGCGTAGTATGTATAATACGGATGCACGGCGGTATGTCCGTCGATGAATATGTGTGTGTATCGTTCTGTGTGTGTGTGTGTGTGTGTGTGTGTTTATTATACGGTCATCGTCGAGACATATACATAATATAAAGACTTATTATATTTAATATTGACCGGCAGCTACCTACCGCACGAGATTATTTTCGTTATTAATTTATCCGTTAATCAGCATCTACCCAATTTTTTTACTTAATATTCTACTACGAGAATATGGAAATAATCACATACCTCGGTATACTGCTTGAAGTTCGCGAAAAGTTCGTTGCTCAAAATATTAGGAGCGGGTATAAGGATGCGCAGGTTTCGATGGATTGTTACAATAAACACAAATGGATTTCCCAACTGTTCTGTCACTAAGCCCACTATACCAATACATATTTATACAGCTATACTGAGATATCGGGTCGCTAATAAGTGACGACTTGCGGGAGAATCGTCCGTTTAATGTAACGAATCGTTAACCGACGTGTATCGTTGTATAGATGTTGTGATTAATTAATACGGCGAGGACAACACAAATGTACAAACAATTGTTTATTTCAATTGACGACCAGGGACTGCGATATGTTGAGTTCGTCAACAGTAAAAGGCAATGTACTGTGTGTAAAAGAGGACGGAGAAAAAAATTAAATGAATACGTTTACGCGTGCGATAGAGAACAAGCTGACAACAAGTACAACTACCAGGTTTAAGTAAATATGGATTAACCAAGTACAGCAGCCCGTCTATTGTATCTACAACTGCTGTATAGGTTTGAAAAAATATAGGTGGTAAGGATTTTATGTGAGCAAAAAAAGAGTGCTTCCGCTGGGCGAACCCAGAGAAGTGGAGATTCGATGAAAAAGATTTACGCGTCTCGCGTCTTGTGCAATACGCGGTCTCCAACCTGGCGGCTCTCATATGATCACCGCAGTGGCTAAGGGGAGCGCCAGTACGTGAACTATGCACGTAATTAATTGTGAAATAATTTATGGCGTACTTATATGGCAACGTAAATACGTTTTTCTCCTTCATCTCGAAAATGCGAAACAAAAATGAATAATGGAATAATTATTACTTTATCACTGACATGATATAAGTGCTATCGCAGTACAGGTAACTCATTGTACCCGATAATTTATCACACGTTTTCCCCTAAAGTAATGGTACTGTAAAACAGAATCCATTTCGTGCATCAATGTACGCAAGATCTCTTTATATTACTCTATGTTTAACCGTTATAAATATATGAATATTGTATATTTATGCAGATTTCGTAACCACTCACTAAGACGTAACCGTAGGTTGATAACGAAGTGCCGTTTTATAAATATTTTAATTATTCCAAGTAGGTATTAAGACCTAACATCTGAAACTGATATTTAAATTATTTTAATACCCTTAACTTATAATTATCGAGTTTAAAAACAATTATTGAATATTTGATTTTTTTTTTGATTATTACTTGTTGCGGTCGTTAGTATACTCTGAACACGATCGAAAAGTTGCGCACGCTAGAGGTTATTGTCAAATATATAATATAGACTTTAGACAATCAATTGAAAAAAGAAAAAGAAAACATGTCTATAATACATGTTGTCCCACGAAGATATACCGCTTGATTATCTCCGTAGATAATAAAGATAATCATGGACATTTTAATGTATCACACAATTATATCCGATGAATAGTTTCTAAGTAACGGCCGATTTAAATTCTTCTAATCTGTGTGAAGACCCATGTTATCTAGGCAATAACCTAACTGCGTTACGTGGTAGCATAGGTGTTCACATACGGGTTAGAAGAATTTAAAATGGCTGTTATTTAGAAACTATTCGTGTAAATGTGTGATGCCTTGAAATTTCGAGAAAAATAAATTCTACTGAACGACCATCTTTAAATTTTCCGAAAATATTAAAATAAAAAGTTATTTTTTAAATTTTTTTAATAAAAAATTAATTTAATTTAAATTTTATTATAAATTGTATTCCTCATCCCTGTGAGTATTATGAAAAAAAAAAACAAAACAGAATTTGATTATCTTCATAATCTCTGAAGATATTCAAGGGGTATATCTTCATGGGTCAGCCTGTATAACGCCCGAAATATAGCGAACAGTTGAAATAAAATGGTCATGTTCAAGGGCATAGCCAGGAGTGGTAGGGGGGCAATTGACCCTTCCTGTTCATAGCTAACATATATATTAGATTTTATCGAAATTTTAAATTGGGTAAGGAATGGACGCGAATATTCTATGTTCATGAATTCTATATCTACCTCTAAGTTATAATTTATAATGAATAATATGATAAAAAAGACGTCCTAGGATAATGGGGACGGGTATAGCCACAGTTATAATTATATATATAACTGTAAGTAAAGATGAAATATTGCTAATGAAAAAATGTTTCTGAGCGAAGTTCAGTTGATAGTGTTGCATTGTCAACAATATATTATGTCATATTATGGTAAAATTATTACAACAATGCGAGTTTCCATGACAACAATGATTGTTTAAAAAAGATAAAAATAATAAAAACTTAATAAAAACAAAAAAATAAATAAAAACGGTTGCCAGTGACAACCGTATTTTAATCTTTCAAAAATGTTTAACCTACAGAACCAGGTTTCCTCATTATCTCGTATAATAATGAGAATTTCAAAAAAATGACCAAAATTGACCAGTTTAAAGTACCACATAAAGCCAAAACGTTACAAAAAAGATTTCTTGTTGTATTTTGATTGGTGCAAGCTTTCTAGGAGAAATTTTGTACATAAATAAAAAAAAAAAAATTAAACTTTATTGTAAAACTAATACATCCTTCACTTCTCTTAGAAACTAAAATTTAACTCGTATAAAAGTATAAAAATTACACTAAACATGTCTTGATTATTGTTTACCTCACTTGATGCATTTTCTAGTTACGCCTTTACTCGCGTTAGTATAAATGTTAACATTTAAATTCTGCAGTCTACTCGGAATTTTATTTCGAATGCGATAACTGACACATTAAAATTTAAAATAACAATCATCCACTAGGTGTCTCGTACGTCGTTGCGGTTAGAAAATCGAGACGATTGTGTACGTGTTTTTATCAGAAATCTAATCTCTGTGCAATATACTTTTTTTCAAATTGAATTTTAATATTGGAATAGGTGTTTGATAATTTTATATCGTATATGCATATATCATCTGTGCATGCGCGGTTGAATAAATATTTATTTTTTCATTCATTTTTTTTTATTATTATTATTTACCCCGACAGCTTGAGAGCTATCGGGTTTGCATTTAAAATTTGATTTACAAAACGTAAAATTACATTCGTATATAAAATTATTCCAGTTATACTAAGCTTATTCTTTATTATAATTTATGGCCGCAGATTATGTGTTGGTAGTATAAGGATTAAAAATGTATAGTTTTATTGGCGAGTTAAAAAAAAAAAAACAGAAAAGGTTTTAACGATATCGATACCTGCAGAATCAATATGATTATTGATAATTCACGCTATACAATAATTATAATAGGTACCGACGGTTTTCCCGACGTCTGACAATCGTTTTAAATTTCCACGAGCGTTTTTCGAGCCTTTGATTGTAAATAAAACATAAAACCAGGCCCTTATACAACCCGAAAGCGTATCCCGTGTTTGTAAAAGGTACAATGTCGTCTTCGTTAATAATAAACTTGCATAGAGTGGTACGGTAACAATAATTATGTTTCCGTTTTAACATAATATTATACGTGCGGAACAAATTTATGGCGGAGAAAACGACTTGCGTTGTGACGTGTACATATTGCTATATAAATGTTCATAAAATATATGTTAACGTTAAGTATTCGCGTGCATGAACTAATTTAATTTACTATCAATCATGTTTGGGATAGTATATAGCGTCTTACAGCTGTAAGTATCGTGTGTTATGACGTTTTTACAGCGGATGGAACTTGTAATTTATAACGATGCGATGACGATAATATTATAAGAGCGACGGTTATAACAAAACGAATTGTCCCCGCAGACCGCGATAATATTCGTATCGTTTGTCTAACGTGGAAGGCGCAATTATTAAGAAAAATGCAGCCGGGGAGACTTTGTTGCATTTACACATTTCCCATTCCGATCGGTCGGACCGAATAGTTATAATTATTGTTATCATAAAAAATCGGCGGACTACTACTCTTATTAGCTATTCATAGGACGCGCCACTCGGCGATTGCACGGTGTACAACGATACACTGCAGGAGTGACCACTGAGTGCACTGTAATAACGTTGGCATTCGCGTGACGGCACAGTCGATCACATTAAATTATCTTTTTAACCTGGTGGACCAGGGATGGAAAATAAGTGGCCCGCGGTATGCGGGAGATTTTCGATTGCACCGCCGAAAGACTTTCAATGTTATACATTTATAGATTTTTTAGTAACATTTGCCAACTAATCCAATCCGGACAGACGAATTTGTCAACATGCGAAAGCGTATCGAAGAATTGGAACGCCATCGGATGCATAACGGAGACACGGACTGCGGTGTTGACAATAGTAAATTAGAAGCATTGAATAATATTCCAGATACTTTTAATTCTGTCAAAAAATTAGCAATTTCATTGTTAACTGTTAATTGAAGTGATACAATTTTAGTTGAATTTAAATTTTAAAATGTTTTTGCAGGATGAATGTGTTTTTTTGTTATATAGTAATCGGTTATTTATTTATTTATTTTTTTTTATTCTCGATACAGCATCAACAACTAAGGTTATCAGCTTACAACAATAATAATTTTGGCTACATAAATATGAGTACATTAAATTTTCTAGATAGAGTTATAATAAATGTTCATATATTTATAAAAAAATTATTTTTTTTGTTGACGTCTTCAATTGGGCTCAGAGCTTCGATAGGTTTATTTTTGCACAGTTGTATAATACAAAATAGACGTGGGAAAATTTGATTTTATTGACGGTGTTCGTTATTTGCTCACGGATGTTTTGAAATTAATACTTTAAATGAGTTTTGCCTTTTAATTTACAAATTACAATCGTTTTTTCAAACACAAATATAGATATCCTATTGGATCGCTGTAAATTGCGTCCCATTTTTAATTTTTTGTGTAAATTGCGGCCTGGGTATATTTTATATGTATCACTAAATATTTTTTATTCATGCGTATAAATTGCGTCTACGACTGTTTTGGTAAAATCAATATTTACTTTATCATTTTTCAGACTTAGGACTGGAAATAGAATTGTATTAATATTGGCATAGTTAAACATATTGATTTTGCTTTTTTTTGTTTGTTTATTATTAACAAATGTATGAAAATGTAAAAAATTGTAAATAAAAAAAATGGTAAAAATTTGCAAGATAATTTTAATTTTTTTAATTTAATAAGAGCGAACTTTATGAAAAGCGAAAGGAATACAATGTTGAAAGTGATTAATGAATTCAAATTTCGTTTTCACCATTCGCTAAAACGTTAATATAATTATATTGCCAGTGTTTGGTCTGAAAAATGAGAAGGAAAATATTGATTAGATAATTAACGTATGAATAAAACATATTTAAACATATAATGATACAATATATTATACAAAATACACCCGGGCCGCAATTTACGTATGTATAAAATATAACCGAGCCTCAATTTACATAGTATATGACTATGACCTTTTTTTTGGGGGACGCAATTTACCGACTCCGATCCCGTTAATGAGTTAAAACAGTTTAGAATTTAGACTGGATGTTTTCAATTTATCCATACCGTCGATACGTCTCTACGGTTAACGGAGTATGAGTGAAATTTCGAAAATACAATTATAAGCAAAATCATCAAACAACGGTTCAATAATGATTGAAAAAAAAAAAAATCAATTTTACTCAAAATGTTCGCAGATAGTCGATGGATAAAGGATAGGAAAAAAAAAATTCGAAAAAAAATCAAATACAATCGCCATGTGCATAACGTATATATGATAATTTAGTACTTATGTCGCGGTTACGGTACTCGCGATTCAAATACATAAGTATTAGCGAGTTAAAAGTTCTTAAATGGGATATGCGTGTTCCTATATCAAGTATTGTATATTTTAGGAATTACGATGGAAAGTTTTCAGTCGTGAATACTGTAAGCCTTAGCACTAGCTGGTAGGTAACCAACCTATGAAACCAACAGAGGGAAGTGTATTTTTATTCGCCTTGTATAACGGGCCTATATTAGATTAGCTTTACCGAAAAGTAATACATTTTGTTTCGGGCTTTCACGTTAAATATTTATTTTTCGAGTCGTTCCGTTTGGAACATTATTTTTTAAGCGGGGTTTTTTTTTTTTTTTTTTTGTCGGCGGTTGTCAAGAGAGGACGGCAGAAATATTGTAAACAAGTGGCAATAATATCGTACCGATGTATTTGTACGTCTGATTCGGAAACGTATTTACAGGCCGTATCCGAGTCGGCTCAATAGACGGTATGCAAATACGCAACGCGCCATGGCTTTTCGTCGATTAGGACACTAACTAGTAATTTCCTTTATCCATTATTAGATTCGGGCTATCAGGTTGATTGAGTTTCTCCATTTCCCGCCTGTTTTATTTATAACCCGCGGTGGCTTTTCATCGACCGTGTAATAATATTTAGGTTTACATTTAGGACGCTAAATTCCTCGGGACAGTATTAGAATTTTACGTAGGTTTGTTAAATGCGTTTTGTTAAACTCCTGAATTTTCGTTAAAACCGACTAGGTTACGTTTCTGCGCTGAATTCGGATAGGTCACCAAACACGCGATCCTCAACGAAACAAATATTTGCGCCGTGTTCCGTAAGGTATTAAGCATTTAACATTCGTTTTTTTATCGTACACGATGCATGCGTTTTAGTTTCGAAAATCGTACAACGTTTATTTCGTGCGCTGTACCTACTTACCTCAAATATTATTTGACGTTGTCGGATTTATCCAATAGCACTTCTCTTTTTGCCGGTCATCAATCTTAACAGTTAGGTATTGTCGTAGTTCGCCGCTGATCGATATACCGAAAAAAAAAAACCTAATGTTACCGATATCCAATGATGTCGAAGACTATCTACCCACGAGGTTTCCTTTTACTGCGGGAACGACAAAAAACAACGTTTTCGCCATAGATAGCCTAACCTAACCTTAGGTTATTTTAGCAGTATATTATAGCCGGTGTGCGGCTTGACGAATTTATTGGAACTCGTCGGAGCTTATACGGAACGCGACGCAATATATTAGCACAAACGTTTTTCATTCCCCGTCAACGGTTCGTTATCATCTCAGTGTTCGATATTTGTGTAACATGTTCTATAGATGGATTCACGTGTTTGCTATATTATATTATAAATTAAATGAACCGTGGAGCCCGGCTAGATAATGTTCACCCGGTATTATGTTCACAATTATTATTAAAAATATAAATGATTTCGCCTGTAGGTATAGAGTATTTTGAGAACGCTTGAAAAAATAATAAGAAGTATATTCAACAACAATAACCTCCCCCCCCCTCCCACCGTCAGTAATCTCTTCTTATAATTTGTTTAGTATCATTGCAGTGTTTGACGTAGCCCGTTATGTATTATATTATTATTACGTTTGTAGCTATGTTATATGTATTTTTCATGAAGCTCGGAAAAAATAACAAAATTGTATTGGAGTTTATAATTTTTTTTACGAACCAAATGTTTTTCATAAAAAACAAAATACTAATGATAATAATAATCGTAATAAAATAACAATAACTATGATCGCTGTTCATAAACATTTAGTGTTTAAGAGATCGAGGTTGGAAATACAATGTTATTATTTCTAATAACATTTTTATCCATTGTATTTTCTCTTGTTTTTCGTATTTTACATTTCTATACCACCTACATACATATGATAGACATCATATTGTTATTGTATCCACAAACGGAAGTAAACAGAATTATAAGCATATAATATGTATTGAACTGTAAAAAACGATCTACTATAAGACGTATAACTCGTCGATTAAAAAAAAAAAAAAAATAATAATAAAATCCAATTATTAGAAAACCGTTAAAGAGTTTTTATTTGCTATAGTACTCAATGGAATTTGAAAATAAACACTCGATATTCCCCGTACCAGTAATTAATGTAAACACAGCAGTCGTGTTATTAAAAATGCGCATTATGCTGCAACGATTGGACATAGAAATGAAAAAAACACCCGTGAGCAACTGCAGAGCTCCGTCATTTTTATATTGAGTCGAAATAGCCGGAGGTGTTATAATTGAAACGTTTTCTTACGGATTCACGAAAATTGCATCGATATGTGAATGCGAAATCCGACTTCAATATTAATGACAATATCCCAGAGTATCCGTACAACACGCAGACGTTATACGTAATTTTGAACTTAGACCTAGGTTCCGACGGGTGCCTAAATCGCTGGGAAAAAAATTGGACGCCTACAGTTTCCGTTGATATTTAAAATGCCCGTTTTAATTTAAAAAAAAACAAAAAAAAAAAACGTTTGATTTCCGATTCCGGCAATATACTTGCTATGGTAAAATGAATATACTTATATTTCAAATTTTCCGAGGGAGTTTTACGTTTTCACGAACCTATGCATTAGTATGTACAAAATAATCAACATACTTATTTAACTATTTGTTGAATTATAAAAAAAAAAATGCAATTATAAATTCCACGGCACATGCGAATTTGAAAACTATTAAGTTATAACTTACAAAGACCGACATACTTCGCACGTGGGTGGGCCGCTGTTGTAGGTGAGAAGTCGAGAAGGTATATTAGAGGAAATTTGTATGTATATCTGTACGCAACGATTAACCATTGTTTAAAGAAAAACGATTCTGAGCGGAGTTTGATCAATAGTGTTGCTTTGTCAACAATATATGTGTGTATATATATATGTTGAATCATGGTAAAATAATTGCATACGCATTATATATTTTCTTTAATAATATTTGTTTAATGTTGTATATATTTTCCCGTTTTTCCTATTTTTTCTTCTCCATTTATTGGGAAAACCCAAGTCAGATTTATTTTTAGAAAAATTGACACACTTGTAAATCGGAGAAAGATTTTCGGTAGAAAAGTTGTTCAGATAAAAAATTAACACTGTAAAACCAATACATTCCTCGCTCCACTCATAATCTAAACATGTTTACGTATTTTATACAAGTTCAAGTACAGTATTAAAACATATAATAATATTCTTATCGAAAAAAAAAAAGTATATTGTGTACACTATGTCCCTTAAAATTACGGGTTTACGAGCTATTGAACGGCGTTGTCTGGGAAATATTCAAAATCCGTAAACCCTAGATTTCACCGGTATTATTACTTTTACCGTAACACATATAGGAAGCGTGAAGATTTTGTACAATCCGCGTCAAATATAAGAAAAAATAAACTGTTTTTGACCTTTAGTTGTTCTATAATAATTTTAACACTACAGGTATATCGACGGAAACGGGAATCAAACATTTTTTTTTTTTCCAAACTTTTGGAAACGTGGGTGATGGCGGAAACGGATAAAAATCGACATGGTTTTGCAAAGCCTATATTCCGAGTTCTGATTAGAATATTTTGTTCGCAACATGGAAAATTGTTTTATATCTGCAGCGATCGTATAATCATCCTATAATATTATTTTTATAATATTGTAGGTGACTGTTTGACGTACACATTTGGGGCAAATGTACTAGCTAGGCTGGTAGGTACTTATACTGTCAGAGGAGATAATCTGACAGAAAAGTCACGTCCGGAGAACAAATATGGGTACACATATTATACATTTTACAGTCTTGTCACGTTTAAAATACACAAAAATGATGCGATTGCGCGTGTGGGCTCATATAAGAACTTGTGAAAGGAATCGAGGGGATGGAAAGTAATATTGAAAAAAAAAAAATCATCAAGATTTAATCGAGTTATTAAAAAAAATGGATGTGTTAGCGAATTTGATTTTTTTAATTATCTATTCATTTATAACCGTTTATGAAAATTATATTAATACGAATATATTCATGTAAGAAGTCAGATTCAAGATTATTTATGAACGAAAATATTAATATACACCATTTACTTGTCTAATACTACAAAAATAATCTGTTTTTGAAGTAAAGTATTCTCTTTTTAAGGCAAGAGCATATTTTTCAGAATAAACAATATCACAAGGCATTATACATTGGTGTTTATGGTGGAAGTAATGGATAGCATAATCGGAGAAAGGAGACAGAGAATGAACAACAGAGAGCTACAGATAACGTTTGGAGAAAACATTATTTTAGAAAAGAAAGACTTTGACCGTCTGAAGTGTCAGTGTTGCGTCCTAATCCAATAGGGAGGAGAATTTCGGGGAGGTCGAGTATGAGACGGGAAAACGTAGTAAAAAATGGACGTGAAAGCTTTAAGAGGTGGACCGAATCGAAAGATTTTGACGACGAACAGGGATAATGGCTTGGCTGTGAGACGAGACGCACCTATAGAGGCCGAAAAATCCAAATAATAACAACAATAATAATAGATATTTATTTTCGAACTCGAGGAGTAAAATATACCGTTATCATTTATTGTATTTTTAACGGTTAAACATTTTATTCGACAACACTTTTTGCCCAACACTGTTGTTATATAATAGGCACTGTTAACACACCGCTCAATGTTTATAACGTTATTAACTGCGGGTACTGCAAAACACGGAAAAAAACAACGGAAGAACGTGTCATTATATGTCTGGCTATAATAATAAAACGCCGACGCGTGTAAATTATACTCGAGATAAAACAATTTATACGTATACCTAATTATCGTTATTTCCATTGCTGTCACCGATTATTGAAATTGTTTACCATATTTCCTCAGGCATTTCCGTCGGTTTATGAGCTTTGAACTTTTCCGCCGACCGCGTTTATTGTAATTTGGTATTGTTTCGTCAAAATATGCTGGTTTACTCCTACCACAAAACATATCAAGTGCAAAACATGCTAGGTAGGCACCTACATTATGAATATTTGTTCGTTTACTATTAACGTTGAATTTTAATAAAGTGTTGATAATATTGTGTAATATAGTACAATGTACAATATTAGTCAATGTTATTTTTAATAATTATTCCTATCACCTCTACCTCCCCATTCCCCCCCCCAAAAAAAAAGAAAAAGAAAGAACTTATTTACGTCACTGGATCAGTGCAAAATGTAACAATAGTTCGTACAACGAAATTTAATTATGATATAGGCATACAGTGATGTACTGTTTCCGCTGTTGCTGTTATCTGCGAACACAGCTGTAAAACACGATAGGTAAATGTTCAATTATAACGACGCATCTAAAGCAAACGATATGAGTCGTTTTTCGAAAATGTCATCGTCCTTTAGTCGCCTTTACAGAAATGAATGTCCGATCACAATATTGTTACACGCTAATTAAATATGTGAAAATTACGTTTTATGACGGCGTATAAAAAAAACCTATCGTTGCTAGATTGTGTTAAACATCGAACGTAGGTCTTGAGTCTCGTCGACTTCTGTTATATACAACACGGAGACCTTTAATTATATCGTTCCAACGAACCTGTCCCAAAAGTCGGTTAGTGCAGTATAAAATGTCGGAGGATTCGCGATTCCGCATATGCCTTTTCGACTCCGCACACACCACGATTCCGTACCCAATTTATATGCGACGTTGCCATTGAGAGGGTTTTTTCGCTTTACATTTCCTTTGAAGTAACGAAGTAAATGGGACATTCAGTGAAAACTAATAAATGTTTGCCCCGACAGCGATGGGTATTTGTAATTGCATCACGCTCATCCGTATTGCTATTTAGTAAGTAATAAAAGTGTTTCTAGAATCACAGTCAGACACCGAACCCAAAATAAGATCGGTTACAATGCATAATGATGGCATCGAAATATTAAACGAAAATAACGCATTGAATTTACCATACACGAATACGATAAATACAAATCAAATCAAAGTAATATACATACAATTTTATCGCAAGTTGGTCGACGATACCAAGGGCAAATATTGCAACATGAAATGTTTTAATTATATTGAGCAATTTGTTTTACACGCGCGCTACGATACAATTTTAAAATCATTACTTCTCATCATATCAACAATTCTTATAAATATTACTGTGCATTTTTATAAAAATCTTTACTGGCAACGTTGCATAAATATTTATAGGTGAAAAGGTATACTGCGCTGAATATATTCGACCGATTGCTCCAATTAAGTGGTTACAGGGCTCGGTGTACATATCGCTGAAATATCGATTCTGTACATGAAAATATGTCCGACAAAATCAAAATGAAAACTGAATCTATTCGAAATCTTCGTACCGCTGAGTATTATAATTTCTGGTTCGCGTGTTAAAAGGATATCAGACACCCGTATATATTATTATAACATTATAGAACCGTGGCGTTTTTCCGGCTCCGATCGCGATTATGAAATTTTTAAAAGAAAAAAAAAAAAAAAATGTTTATCTATTAATAGTTATTGTTATACCATAACCGGTACGACTGGTATTAGAATAATTTTTACCCCGCGGCAACGGTAATATTATAAAAAATTCGCATCGTAAAAAATGTTTCGCCGAACCAGTTCGCCGCACGCTACACAGTACGCGAACACGACTACTCTAAAATGTTATTTGTTGACCTAGGCAAAGCTAGGAGAGTTTTATTAACACCGGGGGATCGGTCGAGTTGCAGTATATAATATAATAATATACTTATATAAAAAAAATTACATATGATTATATTAATCGGAGTAAAAAAAAAAAAAAAAAAAACGGTATATTTTTACATATTACAAACTCGATTTCGTTCAACGAGAATAATATTATAATTACACGTCGTGCGCAACTACAATAATGTTTTTGTCACTTTTAAACAACCGTTTTAACCGTTTCCCGTTAACACACTAGCTGGCGCTGCAACTGTACAGGCTGCACCGCCGGTGCGATTGTAAACGAGACACACTCAAAGAGAAACAAAATTACTATTTCGCCAGCCGCAACGTAAAAACGTATCCCGCTTTTACCTCCCTAACTTTCAATATACAACAGTGGCTGCGCCCACGAGCCAAGTATATCATTTTTGTTTTTGGTATGTTTGTTCAGTATAATAATTCAATTTAAAAAGACAGACTTACTTTGCACGTGGGTGCAGCCATTGTTGTAGGTGGAAAGTTAGGAAGGTAGTAAACGGACGAGAATTTAATGTACATTTATAATCAACAATAAACCATAGCTAACGAAAAAAACGATTCTAAACGGAATTCAGTTGATAGTGATGCTTAAGTATCGAATAAAGAAATTATAATAAAAAGATTAACAGTTAAAAGAATGTATTGAAATTTAAATTTATTTTATTTTATTTTTCAACAATGTGTGTTGAAATCGTTAAAACTTAATGATAACAAAAAACAAATAAAAACCGTTGATAACAACAACCTTATTTTTAATCTTTCAATTTTTCCTCATCTAAAGAACCAGGTTTTCCTCATTCTCTCGGATGTTTTTGATAATTTCAGATAAAGACCATGTCCAGAGACTATTTCCTTTCAGAAAAGATGCTATATTTGATAATCGGAGTAAACTTACTGGTAAAACAAGTGTTCGCTTAAAAGTAAAATAAAAATAAACATCATTGTAAAACCAGTACATTTCTCGTTCGTTTAGAATCTAAAACAACACAATGACAAACAATAAATAAAAATCTGTTACCGCGTACCTACATTTTACGTTTATATAGGGGTTTTCTTAAAAATCAAATAATACACCAACTAGACGAAATTGGCTTTGATGAAATTTCCCATAGAAAAGTTGTTCGCAGATAAATATAAAAAAAAAAAAAAAAAAAAAAAAAAAAAAACAAAACAAAAATATCCGTTGTAATAAAACCAGTAAATTCTACATGTCGTTTTCGGAATCAAATACAAAAAAAATAAAAATAAAACCCGTACATTCGCAGGCGGTTCACGGTTTAATTTTATGCGCTAAAATGTGGTGTGTTTGCTAACGCTCGACTCACAAACAAGATGTTGAATTTTACCGGGGCACATACAGAATATAAATTTGTTTTGAAATCAATTGGGCCAGAAGTAATATATTTGAATACAATTTGTTTTGCGCGTTGTTCGGCGCGGTGGGTATAATAATTAATACTTCAACAACATTCTCTCCGCGGGGTTCCCATTGAAATCCCTCCTCGAACCGTATTTCACGAAATTAATTCACTTTTTAAAATACATTTTGGATAATAATTTTATATTATAATTATTGTTGTCGCGCAAACGGCGATTTAATTCCCGGAGCAATAACAATATGCATTTTGAAAAGACCACGAAAAATAAATACAAATAATAACGCGTGCGGTGTTGACAGCGAGCGGTTATCGAGCTAGAGGATGGTTTTACAAAATCTGTGTTTTTTTTTTTTTTTTTTTTTACGAATAAATTACATATAGGTATATCAACAACGAAAATGGTTTCATTTTTTTTTTTACATAACAATGTTCCAATACTTTGTTCGATTTATGACGATATTACAATAATACAAACTCGAAACGTCTGGTCGCATCGAAGACACTCGTCGTTATTAAACGGTTTTCGAGTACAATTCCAGGTCTCTACGGTTCTAATCAGCGAGTTACATAAAAAGGGAAAAAAAAACACCCGTAAATTTTCCCAGGGTGTTTCCGGTTGTTTACGCACGGAAAATACCTACGACCTCCAACTGGAACCGACTAGATAAAATTTTCTACGACGAAAAAAAAAACAGCTCTCTTGTCGTTTTCTCGCGGGGGCGAGACGTTCGAGTAGAACATTTGTTAGCAGACAAACAAGAACAGAAAAAAATAAAAACCTCGCGCATGATAGTAAAAACAACAATTTGTTATTGTTTTTTAGGGAAATAACTATCGTCGTCGTCCCGTCTCCGTTATTTGTCAGAGGATTTATTCGTAGCGGCGGCGGCGGCGGCGGCGGCGGCTATCGTATCGACTCATCGGCGTCGATATTATAATAACAGCGTACGTGACAAAACCGGGAAAACAGTTTTAAGTGCGCGATGCGAAAACACACGTACCTATCTGTCTGCGTGTTTGTAACATATAAAATATATTATGCACTTTCGACTTGCTCCGGGTCTCTCCGTTCGTTATTATTTGTACCGGTTGTTGAAAAATCACCGGTCGGTTAAGATAAAAAAAAAAAATGACACGTATTATAGTATGGACGTATTTTGTTATTTCGGTACAATCACGCTACACTCGTGTATATACAGGACGATTCACTAAGCGTGCACTATTCCGGTTATTTCTGTTAAATTTTGCGTATTGCATTAAAAGTCTGAATTTTGGAATTTTTAAGTGTGGTTAAATCCTTTTTTTTTTTTTCGGACACTCTGGATTTTTCACAACAGTTAAGGAGTATCATGTGGCGTTACCAACATTGGTTTTTCAAACGAGAACCTGTATTGAAAATTCCATAAATATACGGTGTATTATTTCAAGTAAATTTTGATATCAACATTTTTCGATTCGACCCTTTAAAGAGGTTTTCCCACTTTAAAGTATAGATTATGGGGAGGGGGGGAAATAATGGAGTATCATTTATGTGGTGGCATGGCGCCGGCGTTTGAATGGTTGACGGATTGACGGTTTGATGGAAATCAAAAATGTTGACATCGAAATACATTTAAAGTGATCATCCGTTTTTTAATGGAATTTTTACTATAGGTTTTAAAGTTGGTAAGTTCAAAGTTCTTAATTACGTTTAAAGTCGGTATCACCTAAGGGTACTCCTGAAATGCTGTGGAATATTTAATTATTTGAAAATATCGGCTTTAACTATACATAAAAATTCCAAAAATCAGAATTTGGACGTACGCACGGTTTGACCGAACAAACGGGGTGAACACGCTTAGCGAATCACCCTGTATATATTCTCCGGCTGTTAATTTTTCGGACCGTGAACCTTTTGTGCGTATATTTGTAGTTCGCGTATTGAATTTATTTTTCTTTCGTTCGTTTTTCTTTTGTGTTTCGCAGACGTTCTTGACACCGCTTTATTATTGTATAAGTATACGTACCTACCCAGACACCGGCTATATACAAACATAATATACGATAATAATAATAATAATAACGACGGTGTACACTCTGATAACGATTTATTAGTTTTTCCGCGAGCGTTAACAATACAATTATTGCAGCGACGAATCGAGCGCGGAAATTAGCGACGTTTTAAAAATACGAACACGAGTGGCTCGAAAGGGAACAGGTCGGGAAAACGCACTCTGCGAGCGTTTCTAAACGCAAATCGAACAATTGACAATCGTTTATGGTTATAACTAGTTATAACTATATGGTTTCGTAATGTGGTACAAAAAGGGATTCGGTGTAACCACGGACATTATGCTTACGTTCAAAAACCTAAACGAATTAAAATATCGCGATTCGAAACCAGTTAACACATCGTTTTTGAAATAAATAACCCTTGAAGATCCTTTGGGTACTTATATTCGATATTTGTTTTTTATTTTTTTTTTTTTTAATATTGGCCAGTGTGTTTATATAAATCATTATTATTATTTTACTATTTTTTTAAATTAATATTAAACGCCAATTATGAACATAATAATATTAATAAGCCTAATACGCGGCGACTATAGGACACATTTTATGCCGATATGTTTTTAATATCAGAGTGAATTGACCCATTACCGAACATGATTGCAGGAATACCGTCTGCGCTCCTACGATGGTATTTTTTCCAAAATTTTTTTTTTGTTTTTTATCGATATATGACTATGTGAAACTATAATAGGTTTGCATCGTAATTATGAAAAAATAAAAAGACGAGCATGCTTCGCATGTAGGTGGGCCATTGTTGCTGGTGAGATGTTGGGAAGATAGTAGAGGTAAATTTAATATATATTTGTACGCAACGATGCTAACGAAAAAACGATTCTGAGCGGAGTTCGGTTTATAGTGCCATCCATTTATATATATATATATATATATATATGTCCTTTTATGGTAAAATAATTACATAAGCATTATATATATTTTCTTTAATAATATTTGTTTAAAAATATATATATATTCTCCCGTTTTTCCTACGGTTTTTCTCTGGTTTTTCTCATTTATTGGGCAAATCCCGAGGAAATCAAAAAAAATGATCGCCATAAAGTACTCCATAAAGTTCTCCATAAATCACTCTAGTCAGATTTCCTTTCAGAAACAGTGCTATCATTTTAAATCGGAGAAAAATTATTGATAAAAAAGTTGTAGACAGAAAAAAAACATCATTGTAAAACCAATACATTCCTCGTTCCACTCAGAATCTAAAAATGATAACCAAATGGTAATATGGGATTTTTGGAAAATATTTCTTAATGTGTGCGATTATTTTTATGTTTATTTATATGGAATAACTTTTTTTATAGAATACAGCAAATAGAATTTGTAATTATATTTATGATTCGCAGCTGAATGTTAGAGTTTTGAACAATGACCTGTTTTTAGCACGTCGTTAATATTTTATGATACGTAATATTTCGTCACCTGATAACTTTTTGAATAAACAATTTGATAAGGAGTTTACACTTAAACGATTTTTGAAGGACTGTTACGGGCATCACAAATAAAAACCATCAGTGAGCAGCAGAGCTCCGTTACCTAATTAAGTTGAATTCCCCCCCATATATTCTGTATAATAAACATATACTTATTATAAAACAATAAACAATTGATTTCTGTTATAACAATACGNAAACGATTTTTGAAGGACTGTTACGGGCATCACAAATAAAAACCATCAGTGAGCAGCAGAGCTCCGTTACCTAATTAAGTTGAATTCCCCCCCCCCCCATATATTTTGTATAATAAACATATACTTATTATAAAACAATAAACAATTGATTTCTGTTATAACAATACGAGATTGTGCTATTTTTGAAAAAAAAAAAATATGGGGAAATTTGATTATTAAAATAGCAGAGACGTGGGTTCATAGTTGAAAACCCCTAGAAGCACATCCTTGATATTAACGTCATGCATATACAAAATTGTATTCCCATGGCGTTTTGAGGAGTGTACAAAACTAAAAAACACTGTCTATCATCGAAAATATCGTTAAATTCATATTGAATTTCAATTTGATTTTTATCACTTCAATTCACCTACAAAGCAACTCTAATTCCCGAGTTCGCAATCATCCGGTCTAGTGGGAACCGTTAGTAAAGCTCAAAAGTGTCCGGAAAGAGATGTAGATATACATTTACGAGTGTACATATCTGATCCCGGAGAAGAACGTCTTCGGTAAATTGTGCGTAGTTCGAGCAAATTAAACAGTAGTAATACATGCCACTTGTCCGCGGAGCGCAATATTGGCACAATACAGTCTAAGCGTTCGAGAGAAATTCCGCACGGCGGTGATAACGAAATAAAATTCGATGACAATCTAAGCTACAATTATTACAATTGTGAATTCGGATCACTAAAAGACGACCGAAATAATTGACTTATGAAACATTAGTATACAACCCGTCGGCGTTCTGTTACATTAATATATATATACATATATATTTATAAAAAAAGCGTTCGGACCGTATAGGTTTTTGTAACCGTATAATAATATACTATTTACCGGTAAAAATCATATTACGCACTTAGCGATTCGCCGGGCGATCGACGTAAATGTATATTTGAAACGGAATGTCTTATATTATTACCGTGACGCGGCATTTTCGCGCGGATACCAATCTACAATAATAATACACTATGCACGCTTGCCGGAGTCGGAAAATATTCGGAACATTACGAATCGGTATTTCTATAAGTCCGCGGGCAGGTACAATAGTAACTGAAATGTGAATTTTTTTTGTTTCGTATACCCCGCGGATATGGAATAGCGTAGGCCCTTGACTACTCTCGCACGTATTTCCAAAGAATTAAGTTATTATCACATCTCAGTTAATCACATCTCTACGTGTTGTTACTGTTTTTTGTACGTTCGCCACAGAACTAAATTATTTTAAATTAACCAACGATGACGGCTTATACAACCATGTTATAGAATAAATTAATATTGTAATCATTATTTTCTTTTAGACATTCTATTTTCCTATATAATTTCGTAAAACACAGACAACTACAAAGAAAGAAGGAAAAAAAAATATTTCTAAACTTTTGCCGTCCCGGGCAACTTGCCCTTTCCCTTTCGAGGACACAACCCACATGACACTGCAGCGTACGTATAGTGTATACTTTAGATTGAATTATCGCTTAACCCAAGAGCCGTATAAGATTATCGCCGCATCAAATAGCAACGAAAATTATTATTAGTGATAACGAGCTGCAGGGAGCTGCAGAGATGATGGTTTATGTGATGAACCTGTGCGCAGTAGCGTTATGGAAAACCCGAGGGGAAATTATCAAATAATTAAGTGCGGGTAAATGCGCGGTGTCGAGAATAAGCTGAGTAGACTTTCGCAGAAATGTATGGCGGCGCAGCGAAAGAATAACATCGAAAGTAGAGAAATAATCTAATAATAATAATAATATTATGAAAGAAATGGAGGCAACGGCACATGATGGTGAGGACGATGGTGGTATTCCGGAGTTTCAAATGTAAGTGATCTTAAAGTTATAAAAAAAATCGTATTAAAGCTAAAATTGATTAATTAAACAATTGTTTAATTAATAATTATTAATTTTAATTTAAGTACTGACTTATTCTATCTTGCCGCCCAGATCCGTAAATTTATTATAATAAATATACAGGGCGTGTCGCAGGGGCGTATACAACGGGGGGCGATAGATGCGATCGCCCCCCCCCCTGGGCATTGTTAAATTTGTTTCATGTATAGGTGAATTCTTATTCTATTATTATTAAGTTTTTTAAAAAAAGTTAATTTTTTTTCTGCGGAAATGTTAATCAAAAACTTTTTAAAAGATTGATAAGAGATTAGAGATATTGTAGCTATCATCAACATATCCATCAACTGTTGGTTATAATAATTATATTGTGACTATCTATACGGTTATTGTCTGCACTCTGTAACCATGGTCCGTGTCATTAACATATTCTTTTTTTCGGGGAATGAGATCGTGGAGCCGTGATAACTATATCATGACAATAATCGATAAGCTTTAATAGAAGAACGGCGCATGGTAGTACGAGTACAGCTCTACAGGTCTGCAGTACCCAGTACCCGGCGTTTGTACTAGCAGTTTTTATCAATGCTCAATATTGCAATTCGCAATACACGAAATAATGGCTAACAATGGCATTAGGGAAAAAAAAGTCCCTGACCAAAAACCACGTAAGGAAAAAAGCCCCGGAGAAGCAAACAAATATTTCTTTAAAATTAGCTACTACGAAAACTACAATGTTCATTCTACAACTACGTTCTTTCAATGACCGATACGGATACATTGACTACAAATATACTAAAAATTATTATTTAAAAACCCCCGAGTCCAAAAAATACATCGTACTGGTTTGGAACATTATAGTATTATTATTGCAACACACTAATTAAAAATAATGTAATATATCTCATATTCTAATATATGGGTATTACGTATGTATATTTTATTGTATTTTTTCCCTCAGAGATAAAGAGGGACCACGCACAGGACAACAACCGCCACCGTTATTACGATCGAGTACATTGCCCGCCATCATTGTACCTGGCTTCAACATTTTACAAGCTCAAATCGGACCGAATTCCACAACAAACGGTATTGTTTTTATATAATCACAATATATTTACATTTTTTTAAATTATTATAATTATTTTTTCATTACAATAGTCAATAGTATATTATGTTTTACATAGGTACCTAATTAGGTACATAATTACATGCGGTAGCTTGCGTTGGATTTTAAAATAAAGGTTTAAATTTGTTTATCAAGTATGGAAACTAAACAAACTCACGTAACTTCAGGAGTCTCTTAAGGAGATCATTTATCTCCGATATTATTCCGTCTATTTATAAACGATATCTCAAAAGCTGTTTTGTTTTTAAAAATCATACTGTTTGCCGATGATGCCAAAATATTTAGAGAAATTAGAAGCCCGAATGATGCTTTTAAATTGTCGTTCGATTTAGATAATATTTTTAGATGGTGCCAAAATAATGTTTTATATTTAAACATAAAAAAATGTTCTACGATTACTTTTTCTTTGAAAAGAACGAAAATACAGTTCAATTATTCATTAGCAAATATTAATTTATCAAAAATATCCGTAGTTAAGGACCTTGGGGCCTAGCTTGATGTAAAACTTTTTTTAAATGACCATATAAATTTTATTAGAAACAAAGCGTAATTGGGGTAACTTAAATTTAAAAGGTGGGTAGGACTTGGGTAACGTTACCTCAACTCCACCTATGGAAAATTCGACTTTCCGGGAAGATAGGTGGAGCTGGAATCATGAAAATATGGTCAGGAATTTATAGAAATTGAGTAATAATTATTGACGCAAAAAAAACTACAAAACTCAAATCGGGGGAGGGTTTAGGTAAACGTACGTAATTTTTATAAAAATGAATAAATGAAATGATTGATTGCCCTGAAATACCTCAAAACATAAATTTTTAAATCAAAAAACTGTGATAAAAACATATTTTATATACAAATGTAAACACATATTATATGTAAAATTCACCGTCGAATATTCTAATGTGGGCTAGTAATTACGTGAAGAATATTGATTTTTTTTAATACATCTTCAACAAAGTTTTTCAGTTTAGGTTTTAAAAACTATAAAAGCACACTTAAGTAAAAAAGAAATTTTATGTGTTAAAATAAATGAATAATAAATAAGTTATGAAAGTTTGTTTTCTTTTTTTTTTTATTATTTAGTTTTACTTTGTATTTTTATAAATCATGTATTTTCTTTATTCTTTGGATTTGCGAATTTCTCTAATTTAGTGTACATATGTCATAGCTATGTATATTTCATTGTATATAACATGTATAAAAATGTAATTGGAATTTTATTTCCGTTAATAAAAAGAATATTATTATTACTATTATAAATCCAAAAAAAAGACAAATAGCTTGTTTACATGTAGTAAAAAGCTAACATATTCACTATAAAACGATTAAATAATATTGTGGTTGTTAGTGCGCATAATAATTTATTGTAATATTGAAAATTAAAATGTTCACCAAAATCAACCATAATGTTATAAAAACTGTTGAATATATAGTAGATATATGTCTTGACTGGTTTTGTTGAACTTATTTGGTTTTACAATGATGTGTTTTTTTTCATATGTTTTTAAATAACTTTTCTATCAGAATTCTGCTCCAATCAAAAATGTATGTGATGTTTTTAGCAAAAATGTTGGTCGTTTTATGATTTTCCTTGTAGTTTTTTTTTAAACAATGAGAAGAAATGCCAATTTTGTGTTTAATTTTTATTAATATCTGAGTTTTATCAGTATAAAGGGAATAAATAAGACTAATAATATTTTGCTTAGAATCGTTTTCTGTTAAACGTGAATTTTCGTAACGTCAGATTAAAATTAAATTGTTCGATATCCTCTTTTTTAACTTTTTACCTCAAACAGCGGCACTTCCATCAGTAGTTAATAATATTTAAATCTATAGGTATAATTTATATAATCATTATATTACATTTTTTGTGTACAATTTATATAAGCAAATCGTCAATTTGGCAGCCTTATATTTTGTCATAACAATGAAAATAGACTCAATGATTTGCTACAAATTTGTTACATTTACTGTTGCATTTTCAAAATTTTCTACTGGCTGGTTTTTCCTACAGACCGAAATTAAACCTGGCGGTGCAATGTTAACGTAGTACCGACACATTGTCCAATAACTCTAAACTAGTATCCAAAAACTTTTTTCTACAATTTGCTACTGGATTACCAGAATTTGTTACTTTTCCGTTTTCCTAGAATTTGGAAAATCTATAATCGATCAGGGCTGGCATTTTATTATTGCTTATTTATTTATTTTCATATAAAAATGTGTACATAGTGTTTAAATTAATAAATTACAAGTATGAAACCTCTCCAAAAATCAAGTTTGTGACTGGAGGGATGAGTTACTAAGATTGTGTCATATTAATACAAATATAAATGTTAAGTATGTAAGTACATAATTTAATAATGAATATAATATAAAAGACGAATAAAAGAAAACGTCAATCTAGTTAAAAAAAAAATTGTTATTTATTATTATAAATAACAAATTTTTTTTCCTATTTTTTTAAAAATTGTTAGGTATATATAGAAGAAAGTTAGATGCTAAGATCAATGAGAATAAGAAAGAATTAGAAAAATTCGAGTATCAAACCGAACAACTAAATACAGATATCATTAGATTTCAAAGTAAATTAGATGAAGTAATTAAAACTAATGATGAAAATTATAAATCATCGATAGAAAAAGTTGAAATAATAACATACTGTCAAGGAGTTGAACGAAAGGAAATCAATAGAAGAACATTGATGGAAACAAATAGAGAAGATTCATAGAAGCGGTTCATAAAATTAATAATGGACATAAAATCAGAAGGGGTGTCTAGAAGCAGACTCATTTATACAAATGGAAGAAGAATGACGTGGCCCAGAATCAGTAAAAAGGAGACAATGGGAAAGATCATGCAGTTGGTAAACCCATCATAAAAGTCAATTAATGTAGATAATAATAATATTTTTAACTGTGGTAAATGTGATTTAAAATTTAAAGAGAAATTAATACCAATGGTAACTATTGCAAGAAGGATACCGTTAAAGATCAAAGACAACCTGAATCAAAAACTGGAAGGAATGGTAGATTAGGAGATGATAGCTCCAATGAAAGAACCAGTGAGTGAGTGAACGACTTAGTTATAGTACAAAAACCAGATCTGTCATTGAGAATTTGTCTAGATCCTCAAAAACTGAACAAGTGTCTGGTAAAATATTCATATAATTATAATTGAAAATATTTTCAATTTAGATTATTTGCTAAAGATTGTAGAATTGAAATTAAAAATTCCAGTCCAAATTATCCCGTCAGCAATGGGTTAGTTGAGAGATATGTAGGTATAACGAAGAAAATGATAAACAAATGTGTAGAGTAAAATAGTAACTTAGAAAATTAGTTGCTTAGCATCAGAAATACAATGTTGGTGAATGTTCTCGCAAATTGATTACAAAATAGAATTTCAAGAACAAAATCACCTATGAAAATAATGCATATTAAAAAGAGTAGTTATAATGCAAAAAAAAAAAAAAAAATTGGTTAATAACCAGATGTTACATAACAAATATGTTGTAGATAACTCACGGAGTGATGCAAAATTCGGTAAAAAATTTAAATGGCCTAGGTGCTACTTGATGAGAGATCCAAAGAGAAGAGTAATAAGAAGAAATGTGATATTTTCAAGGAAAAGGTACTACTATTCCTGTAAAAAAGACTTAGCTAATAGAAAATTCTGAAAATGTAACGAATTCGAAGCTAACTGTTGAGCCCACATTCAAGGTTGTAACAAAAATATGTTGCTACCGTCTAGACGGATTTGGTTTTTAGGAATAATAGTTTAAAAGCGAATTACATTTTTTAATCAAATTTTCGAAATTCGTGTTCTTTTCCTCGAATTCGTCCACGCTTTTGGTACGCTTTAGTACGGATGGCGCAGATTGAATATTATTCTCACCGGCCGATAGAAAACTATCAACCCCTGTTATGTTTTCGCTGCTTGTTTGCGGATTGTAATTGATTATACTATTATGATCGCCATTACCCGGATATTCCCCGAATTCAATCTCCATATTGTTTTGTTTGACTTTTAAGTCGTTTACTTGTGTTCTTAAACTACGAACCTCATCTGATTCTTTTCGTTGCACCATTTTCATCTCTGACAATGTAGTTCTTAATTCTACGATACATCGTTCCTTCTCGTGGAGATCGATCGTCAATTGTTCATTATCCTGCAGTCTTTGGCCGACTCTTTCCATCGATAATTTATCGTTCTCGTCGCTATTTTTAATAACACTATCTAATTTACTTTGAATTTTCATGATATCCATATTTAGTTGTTCGGTTTCATACCCGAATTTTTCTAATTCTTTCTTATTCTGGTTAAATTCGGTTTCTGCCTTTCTTCTTTCCAAGTCGAGAAATGTTTTTTCCGTACGTAATGTACTAATAACCGTATCTGCTCTAGTACTTTCCGTTTCCGATATTTGTTTTAACAATTCGTATTGTTCCTTACATTTCTGCAACTCCTTGTCTAGTTCTTGTTTTTTATTGTTTTGACGGCATATCGTTTCATTTAATTTTTGGCCGTAATTTTTTTCCAATTCTAATTCTTTTTTCAGTTTGTCAACCATAATAATTTGTAGCGATTTTTCTTTGTTCAATTCTTTTTTCTCGCTTTCACAATCATTTAATTTTAATTTTAATACACAACTGGTTTCTTCTTTTTCTCTTTTAAGCTCGTCAGTTTTCTCAACCAATTTCTTTTTTTCTTGAGCGATTTGTTGATATTTGTATTCTAAACACATTTTTTGATTATCATTTTGATATTCTAAACACGTTTTGTTTTTTTGCTCTTTGAATAAACATTCTTCCAATTGATTTATATTTTCTTCTAAATATAAATTTTCTTCTTCTAGATCTTTAAGAACTTCTTGGGAGTATTTGTAATTTGTATTTAAATTGTCAGTTTCGGTATTTAGACATTCTACGTATTTATTAATCGAATTTATTTCTGTCGATAAACCTATACATTTATCGCCTAATTTATTAAAGATTTCGTCGAATTTATAGATTAGCCATTTAGAATCTTCCATCATATCCTCCACAAATTTATCCGCATAGTGTATTTGACGTTCTAATTTTTCATATTTCACAACTTCGTCCAATACTAACTGTCTATTTTCCTGTTCATCGACATGTTCGTCTTCTACTTCATCATCAAACATCGAGTAATTAGTCTCTTGTTGATCATCATTTTCGTTCTTTTCCTCATTTTCATCGTTTTGATTCGTCTAAAATATTAAATGCAAATGTTAATTTCACTTATACCTAATATCTACACGAATAAACTTACCCAAATCCGCGAAGAAGCCAAACTTCCCACCTTTTTTAATGCATTTAAGACAAACATTTTTATTTATTTAATTATATTGAAATGACAATAGTTGCAAATAAATAATAAAATATTTTTTAATTATGTTTTATTTTAATAAAAATAATATACATGTAGCGTCGCTATAGTGATAAACTGCGTAAAACTGATTTAACATTTTTTATATTTATTTTTTTTAGATTTAGATAGCCTATAACCCAGAAGTGAAAAATTGTTTCAACTTTTTTTCTCAGATACGGAATTTTCGCTTTGTAGTAATTTATTTGTCACGTTTGTCGAAATATTCAGCAGTTTAGACTATAAGTTATTTTACGTTACTGCTTGATTTTTATTCATTTTTGAATTACCTTGTGAATAATGAAAAAAAACACCGTTTTATTTATAAAACGCTATTCAAAACCGTTTTATTTGATAAATCAATAATTATAAATCGTAAATTGATCTTTAAAAACCGGTTTGCAGGGTTTTCATACAACGGTTTTTTGTTGATTTTTTTAAATAGTAAACCTTTTGTCAATTGGTTTCACAAAACCGTACTATTTTTTTCCTCATATTCCGACAGATAGATATTTTAACATAGGCATTAATGTGTTATAATACTTTAATATTCGCATGCTAATACCGTTTTGGAAAATGAAATTACACCATCAGTCTTTTTTCAAACTGGGTACTTATCGAGTAACCCAAACGTATTGATATAATCATCATCGTCGTTATTATTAGGTGTAATTCCAATTTATATAATCTTATAATTTTCTTTTAAACATTTTCGAATTTGCCGAAAATCTTAAAGTGTATACTATGCTATGAAGCTTAAAGAAAAATACAGTAAAGCACCTATCCATTGCTTATCATTTTGTGATAATATTAATAAAAAAACGATTAGGCAATTTTTTATGTATAACACTCTTGGGCGTACTGAAATTGCCTATCTAACGCGCCTCAAACGAAATGATAGTTCAGGGAAGTCTATTATGATAATAATTGTTATTATTATTTATTATCAGCGTTATGTTTTGTGTATATATATATATATATATTTATCTAAAAAAAATGATAAATATTTATCCAAGTCGTTATTTGAGAAAAATTATTGAATCATACAGATAAAATATTCATCTTCATCAGTCAAATACCGATAATACTACATTTTTATGATATATGGATTTTCATTAAATCTGATACACTATCAATACTTTTAGCTCTTATTAGCATTATACTCCGACAATGAACAATATTATATATATATATATATAGGGTGTCCCACGATGACGTGTCGTTTGGAATAACTTTTGTTCTATTCAATATTTTCGATAATTTTTTTTTTTAAATAATTAGTCTGCCTTTGTGCTACAAGTCATAAAATTTTGGATGGAGGAGAACTTGGAATAAAAAAAAAAAAAAAAATCAAAATTATCATTTTGTAAAATAGATTTTCAGAAAGTTTTTGGCGGTTTAAACTTTTGTTAAGTGTGGTCCTTGATTTTCTACGATGTTTTTAAAGTTTTTGCAAATGTGAATATTACCTATTGTGGTTACACCGTTATAATATATAATTATTTATTAGGCACACGACTAGGGTTTTATTTTCCATGAGTTAATATCATGCAATAATAAAATCATAATATAAGTAATGGGTATTGGAAAATAAATCAACAATGGTCATTCATGTTGATAAGCAATATTTTTACGATTGAAAAGAAAATTATTCAAATTTTCAAAAATACTTTTAAAACCAATTTCAAACACTAAAAATTCTCTAGAAACTTATATTGTGAAATTGCTAATTTGAATTTTTTTAAAAAAAATTATAATAAAATTTTAAATTGTTTATTTTAAATTCCCCTACCCCTAAAAAAAAAAAATGTCATATATTAACTGTAGCGCAGAGGCATACTAATTATTTAAAAAAAAAAAATCAATAATATTAAATTGAACAAAATTTATTTCAAGTGACACATCATCGTAGCTATATTTAAATATATCTTTTTAATCTTGATTATACGGTCCGGATTGTTTATCTACTTCATCTACTTAAGTATTCTCACAATAAATCCCTTATCTTTATCTAGATATTTTAAAATGGATCTATAGAGATATTGTGTGGACAACACGGGTTTTATGTGTTTATGGTCGATGTAAACATTTTAAATTCACTAGCTTAATACCGTTGAAATATTCAACAGCAGCGCAAGTCTCGCATGGTATTATATTGTAATAATAATAACTATTATCATATTATGTCTTCCCGCTATGCACCATTACTAACTGACAATTTCTTTAAACTCCACACACACACACACACCACTTTTCACGAAAGTCCGAAACATTGGACGATATACCTGTTGTTTTGCCCGGAATTTATATTATTATGTTATTGTACCGATATAACAATTTAACTGCTAGATAATTATGTTACACGAAATACCTATTCTAACAAAATACTTTGGCCGGAATGTTGTAATTTCCCGTAGTCCTTTCAAAAACCGAAATCAATGGGAGAAATATTTGATTTCACGTGTCTTGCTGGTCTTCAGTCTCATTTCATACGTGTATTTCCCTTTTTAAACCATCAGTTCATATTATTATATTATGTGCCACCAATCGATAAGCCCATAAATAAACAAAAATAATTTACATTTTCGTTGCAAAAATACTAAAGAAATCCACACGTTATATTCTTTAGGTGTTGAATTTCAAAAAGCAGCCTTTTGCAAATTTTTAAATTTAAACTTGTTGTAACATAGATTAAATACTTTACTAGTGTTCTGCATTATTTAATGCCAAGTTGAAAAAATAAACAAATTTTGTAAGTCCCGAACTATATACAAATACCTAATGCATGAAATCACCACGGGATTTTTGGAGATTAATGTGATGCTGCAGTAATTTCGGTAAAGTTTTGTATTGCTTACCGAGTGTGTATAGTTCAGTTGGGTTTTACTAATGAGGTCGAAGTAAATTAATTTTAAGTGGTTTACCAGTATACCCACTATAAAAATAGCTTACATTCTCGGAAAATCTTGAAAATTACCGAAATAACGCGACTACAGAATAGTTGTGCTGTGGTAGTTATGTTATTAATTTTAATAAAACGGTATATTATATAGGTTCAATTATATGTAAAACGCGTTTCTTTTGAGTAATTTTCTATGAGAATCGAATTGGATCGGCTAAAATCAAACATCGATTTTGAAAAATTACATAAATTTAATAGTATTTGAATATTTTAGTTCAATTCAAAAATATTTTTTCCCTATGGAATGGAACCAGAAAGGTTCGACAAGTGGGGTTGTATTAAGTCGACGGCCGGTAAAATGTTTTTTTATACGATTGAAAGAGTTATGTGTATCTATAGTGTATCTCGGATGTACGCAAAGACAACAAATGAAAAAAGAACCACTGTGCATGATTTTCGAGGATGATATAGCTTTGATAGGAGCCAATCTGGAAAAAGCTAACAATAGGTTCGAAAAATGAAGAGTACCATTTAAAAGAAAGGGATTAAAGATAAGTAAAAGTAAGAGTATAGTGGAGTAGAGTATAAGTTTTGAGGAACATGATAAGGCATTTAACGAAAATAAGTGATTATAGATGAGGTTGGGAATTTGAACTACCTAGAATCCTTTGTACGAACGGTGGCTTTCATGAAGACGGGAAAAAAAAAGAAGAGAAATACGTCAGGTGTTTTCTGTGACTTAGAGTTAAGTATAAGAAAAGTATGGAGAGACAGACTGTGTTGTATTGTTCGGAATGTTGAATAGTAGGAGGAAAAATATAACAGAAGATAAATGTAGCAGAAATGAAAACCCTTAGGTGGGTCAGTGGAATGATAAGAGATGATAGAATAAGGGTCAAGTATATAAAGAGTGGCTTGTAGACGCTGCTTCGATAGAATAGAAAATTAAAGAAAATAAATTTAGATGGTTTGGGCTTTTAACAGGAGGGAGTAATCTGAATCAGTAAGAATTGTAATGAAAATATTTGTGGAGAGAAAGAGGTGGAGAAGAAGACTGAAAAGGAGTTGGTTGGATGTGATTGAGAATGATAAGAAGACAATCGGTATATGTGCGCTGGGGTTCGGATCAAGTGAACCTTTAGAATGAGGATAGCTGACTCGAAATAGATGCGATGAAGAAGAAGAAGAATTTAATTTCAATATTTTATTAGTGTCTTGTGATAATATCAATATAGATAAACTGGATTTCGGTAAATTATTGACATAAAATTTATTTAAATTTCAAGTTGGACATCAACTTCATATTATTGTAGGACAGAATGTAAAATTGCTTTATAAAATCGCATTTGCGCTTATGTGACAGTTATTATGCATTATAAAATGTGTACTGTGTAGGTAATATTCGTTTCTTCTGTCTACATATTTTTGTTCGGAATAAAATTTAGTTCCGTATATTTTCGTTAATAATAATAATATATATATATATTAGGATTTTGGGTTAGGTATATATACCTTTTTTAAATCATAAATTTATGAAACGAAACACAGTTGACGTTTATCAGAGTTGTCATGTAGTTCATATATAGAACATTTATTGCGGCTTAGATTTTATTGAGACCAAAATATAATATGATTTTGTCAGTTCTTTATTTATTTATTTCTCTCTCTCTCGAAAAATAAAATGGGCTGATGGGCGTGTTACTGTTACCAGGCGGAAAGTCACATAGAGTAATATAATTTCTATCTGTACGCTACGCAACAATGACCCATTACTAACGAAGCGCGATTTCAAACGGAGTATTGTCAGTTGATTTTCCCTCGTTTCTGCGATAACCGAAAAATCAACAAAAATTGCCAATTTTTTTTTTCAATTTATGAAAAAAACTATAATAAGGAACATCCGAGACCACCTTCCCATAATGCTTCAACCAGATCAAAAATTCTACAAGAAAGTTTACTATAAGTCTACTATAAAGTTTGGAACAAGATTTTTGGTGGTTTTTTATGTTTATAAACACACGCAAAAAAGATAACATATCACAGTAAAAACAATGCACTTTCTCAAAGAATTTTATGTGGATTTAATTCTTGTTTTTTTTTTTTTTTTACTTATACACTTTATACATCAAATTGTTTTATTATTATATGCATTCGGTTTTACAATAGGAACATATCTTTATAAACATATACGCGAATGAGGAAGTTTCACATTATTCGTTTTTAGAGTTGATATATACATTAAAATCTTTCCCTAACGGTAAATCCTGTATCTGTACTGAATCCTGTAGGCTTCAGTCACGGGTATTAAAATGTTAAGGATATTTGTTTCTATTCGAATGTGGTATTAAATGAGATGGGTATGTGGTTCCTATTTGAATATCAAAAGTGTATATTTATTTAAGCCTTAAGGCGTTTTATGTTTGTGTAAAAAATTAAAAATAATTCCATAACGATTGAAAGAACGGAAATAAAATTCGATTTTCCGAGAAAACCTTCCCTCGTAATCCTCCGAAAAAAATCTACGGTTCATAATCAATGACGGATAACTCTGTTTATTGATAAATTATGCATTTTGAATTTGTACTGTTGCACGCAAATGTGTATAATATTATTAATCTTTTAGTATAATTAATCATAACTACTGCCGCCCGAGGGGTTGTAATTACGCGGTAATATTTAATTTACAATATTATCGTAATTACGACTGTAATATTATTACGAACAATAACATTACACACGTTCTATCCAAACGTTGTTTACACGCATTTCGTATTTCATTTTAATGTTTCGCTTTGCACGCGGAATTCATCTCTGCGCCCTTTGACGGGGTTTTCACGTAGAATTCGTAAAACATCTGTAAACAAAACGTGTTTAATTAATATCCGTAAAAAGGAAATCGATTTCCCACTATGTGAACACACGCAGGTACGTTGAAACGCGGGCAAAGCTATTTTATCGTTGATAGCCGATTGTCTACATAATATACAACTAGAGCACAGTATTGTCTTACGTAAATAATAACACTACTTACGGCTATTCCTGTGCAGACAGTCGGGTCTCACGATAAATCCTCGAATAGTCGCGCAGCTATACGTATACGCGTGTATCACATAGATAAGGAAAATAGCCGTGCAGTTAATTTAAGGGAATTTCATTAAAATCGTTCCGATAAATAAACGTCCGACGCTCAAAGCGAGCGAAACAACCTACTGCAGGCTCATAGAGCGAGTTTTCGTTTTGTACGTTCGTACATTATGTACCCAATATAAAACGGGACGTTTGCGTTGCGGATTTCGGTATTTCGGTACGGGTTATTTGAGGGCCGAGGACGTGTAGTAAACGCAATCGAAAACCGTAAAATACGTACTGAAATTATGGTCTACGGTTTTTTTTTTTCACTTATTGTACATCTACTATTAGAAAACATCTGAATTGATTTCAACAATAACCTACCCGGTTTTGATTCCGCGCCATTGCGCGTCAAAAAGAATGGTTTTATTCTTGAGTTTTTATTGTCTTAATGAAACTGTGACGTTTTTGAGTTTACACCGATTCAATGTTGTAGATATTTACCTTTGTTTAGCTCGGAAATGTCGTCGTTCGTTTTTGTGTATTTCGTGAAGAAAATAGTGTAGGTGCACAGTTTAGTGAAGTTGAGTGTTATTTCGGTCGTTTATAATGTAATCGTTTGAAGTAGAAATTTCGTTGAAACTCATTAAAAACAATTTATATTTAATTCAATGTTGCAAATTATTACAATTTTCAGTTTAAATTTACCAGTAACCCGTTAATAATTAATTTTTGTTTCCGACGCATTATTATCGCACACAGATTATACAAAAAAATTAATACTCCACTTTTCAGCGCCTACCTTGGACATTTTATGCGTACGGTAAATTAGAAACTTGCCAGTTACAATAATTATTAATGTATTAATGTATCGGCTATGACGTACTATAAAAATACTTGGAGTATTGTTACTACTTAAGAATTTTTAGTGATACGATTAATTATCAAACCAAACAGTTTTCGTAAAAAAAATAACGTGAGAAAAAAAAACAACAAAAATCGTGTATCCCGAATCATTCAACGGTAACTCGGTACTCTAAACGTGTATCGAAATCGTAGTATTTTTGGTTTTTTATTTTGAGAATATCTTCTAGGATTCGTTTGGCTTAGGATATATTTTATGGTTTTATTCGAACGTCTGTACAATATAAGCAGGTGGTGACAAACGATCGTTGCAACAAGGTGGATCAAAGCCGATGAATCTATTGCACTCCGAAGCTTTAAAATAAAAGTTTCTTTCTCTGAATTTAGACGGGTCGAGTATAAATGAAAGTATTTTTTCTTTGTACGAATTTTAATTCCCTCACTAACTTTCTCTCTCTCTCTATCTTTTTCTCTCGAGGAGACTATCGTCGAATAGGGTCGCTGCTGAAATGAAAACAAATACTACAATAGTTGTTATCTATATGTTATTTTTACACTCGTGTAATAAATCAATATGACGTATAACAAATAATACATAGAACAGGATAATAACATATAGATAATGTTTACGTGTGTCACAAATGGACTTAAATAATTAATAATACGAACAAATCGTGCGTGAATTTTAAAATAAGTAGCATTTCCTACGCTAAAAGGTAGAAAGAGAAACTTTTGAAATAGACACATGAAATATTCATTGGTTGCGTGCATTTTTAGAAACGTATAATACTTATGTATTTTGAAATAATATACCTTTTAAGTTCCTATTAGTATATTTTGGTAATGTTTAATTTAAACCGTTTGAAGTTTATACGAAAAAGCGATATGAGAAGAAAAAATATCTAGCGCGTGTAATACAAGTCGTGCATAAATATTTTAATTTTCGTCGTTTGAATCGCAACGTTTGGCCAATAGGTTTTCCCTTCCGGTTGTAGAATGGGTTGTTACCATCTCGGATCATCTCGGATCCGAAAAAATCGTGATTAACTCAGGAAAATAGCCCGAAACGGCTATCTGAGTTGACCCGGTACTAGACAATTTCTCCAAATATCCATCTGGGAAAATTAACGACGAGTCATCCCACAAGAACATATGCGAAACCTGGGAAAGTTTCTGCGGTACGTATTTTACTGGCGTTTTTTTTTTTTCTTTTTTGTATACATACGCTTGTTGAAAGTTATGACTGTGAAAAAATGTAAGAATATTCGGAAACACAAATGATTTTTTTTTCGTTTTAATAGAAAAATCTTTTTATATTTTTAGAGTTAAATTTAAAATTGCGATTCATTCGTAATTTATAGTTTTTGATATTGACAAAACCAAAAAAAAAGATAACAAATATTTATTTACTTCCGCACTTGTGGCTTTCTACTGTTTAGAAATTGTCAAGTTAGGTTTAATCTCGACTACATAGGACGATGCAATCTGTAGTTTGATAATTATTCGTATATTGAACAGCTCAATCAATTAGACATTGAAAAAAAAATATCAAAACGCTTTAACTCAAAACCGGTAATCGAAAAATAATCAACAGAGCTTATACTGGGGATAGGTGGGAACACTGTTATGTGTGAGAAGTTAGAAAGATAGGATACATAAGATTATTTAATTTATATCTATAAGCAACGATAAACCATTGCTGACGAAGACGATTTCGAAGGCAATTCAGTAATACATAATTTTATGTGGCCCAATTTTTTTTTGCGATTTTTGTTAAAATTTGATTTAAAAACGCTTATTAAAAAAAAAAAAAGTCGTTCGATGATTTTGGAGATTTCACCATGTCTAGGTAAGTCCAATATAAGTATTATTACCATGTTTCAAGTCTCTATGTGTATTTATAAACGAAATAAAGCAAAAAAAACTCTCACTCAAAAGTGGTTTAAAAGTTTTGGCAATGATGCCGTAAGAAAGTAAATCAAAAAGTCAACAAAAAAGATAATTTATGATTTTTTGATTTAATCATTTTTTCTGATAGAAAAAGTCGTCTGTAAATAATAATAAAAACTTAAGAGTTACAAAATATACATAAAAATGGTTACCAATGGTTAATCTTATTTTATCCTTTTAATCTTGTTAAGCCTAAAAAATTAATGAGAATTTCAAAAATAACCTTTCTAATGTTCCAACTAGAGTAAAATTTCAACAAAAAGGTCTCTTTTCGCGTTTCGATTGGAGTATGATTTCTAAAAGAAATTTTGTACACGGTATATAAAAGAAAAAGAAACATCAGTGTGATATCAATATATTTTT